TCACTCAGAGAATTTCCAGTGTAACATTACGAACTTATCATTGCGTTTCGACGCTACGGAAATCGATTTTCTCTGGGTGTAAACAGTATTTGCAGCCGGGAAAAACACCTCCAGTGTATGGACTAAGGCTATGTTAAAAGTTTTTTTGAATGATCATAAACCGTCCGAAATTTGTTCTACTGAGAAGACCAGGACTCCACAAGTTGGTCACTGTGTGGCAGACAGTCAGTCACTCCTGCATACACTTAGCGGTCACCGGCGCTGCGTGGGACTCCATTTTCAAGTTGAGAAGTCCAATGAGTGCCAACAGACTGACAAGAACTTACATTTTCACCACCGACATCGGCTGAAGTTTACCATGCCACTGCTGGGAGTAGACATTGTTTTATAGCCAGTACCAACCAGCTTGTTCTCGGCCGCGCCCCATAGTTTGCATTACGATCAACCTACCTCTCCAGTGGGTTTGTTCGGTAACATCCATCGCTTTCCTGCATAAGGAAGGAGACTTAAATAGCCCCTCTGTAATTATATAGTCATTTTACTAATTCATCCCTAACATTGTGCGGGTCGTTAACCATAGCAAAGTAAGCGACACGTGCATACGCGAGGAAGTTTGCGAGCGTGTCACTTACAATCAGCAATTAGTCGTCTGGGAAATCATTTGAAACGCTTGTACTTACGATACTACTAAGGTGGCTTCAGTGGACCGGTACCGCAAAGACCACGAATGCACGGAGTATATCCTAGTAGCTCTTGCCCTAAGATCCCAACTATGTGTTGCATTCTCTGCGTCGCTAACCTCCTAGCATGCCCAGCGAATAACTCCTTCCAGCTGTCTGACCAGCCACAACAGACAACCCGAGGGCTACGTGGACGTTCTGACCTTCCCTCCAACTCATGACAGCAACCAAGGCAATCGGTAAATGTAACGGCTATGGTCCTGGACCAACGGTCCACCGCACAAGGAACTCTACCTGGCAATTACTACCAGAGGATAGCGTTTCACGAATTTGTTAGCCAAAATGTCGGAAGGGAAACGCTTTTCGTAAAGTTAGGTGTACGAACGCATTTAACTGACTTTTAGCAAGTAACTAGTAGTTTATGGCCTTCATTTTCCTTCTGATTACTAAGATACCCACATCTTTTATGTGCAGTTTCTATGGTTTCGCATTTAAGTGTTTACTTGCTGTCTCTAGACAATGTCTGCGAATGCTGACTATCGGAACGTAACGCATCTGCTTGTTACGTTTTTTGCAACTATACACGCACCTATCTTTTGATCGCAGTCGATCATTCATCAGGAACTTCTGTTCTTATCAGTTGCACCGAACGCAAAAAAGCGCTATACACCTACTGCACTATACCGGTTAACGATTTCATCAACCAATGTATAACAATTTGTATGGTAAGATTCGAGGCATAATACGCTTAGATAAAGGGATCAAGTTGATTCTCAACTGAAACGGTAATTTTCGCTCTGTAGCTTACTAGAACCAAGTGCTCTCTGAATCGTGCTGAGCGCCACTCAAGTGGGGTATCATTAAGATAGTTCAACATGTTTCGCTAGTTTTAAAGGATAAGGAGAGGATTCGACTAATCACGGACGATCGATTCGAACACTACATCTCGAGATGTAGGGACATGCTTTTCTTAAGGAGCAATTTTGTTCTGATATGGACCAAATTGACTGAGAAAAGATATGGCGATGTACAGGCGATGGGCACTTGGGTCTGCACAGCGAGATCAAGGGGACAGGAGATTGAAAAGATATGTGCTCTCAGTCCTGATTGTAAAACTGTACGTGGACGATCGATTTTAGTGGATCGAGATACCTGTTTTCGGCTGTTGCTACTTACTAAGGAAGGAAACCTGATGAGGTCGCACGCCTAAATTATGCTTTGCAACATGCGGACACAAAGGGAAGAGAAATTCAATGTAAAGTTGGGTGTGAATGAGACACAATAGAAGTACCAACATGACGTCTAGTTCCTGAGGATCGTTCCTTATAGACTCGAATTTGCATCCAAAGCATTCAAACTCGGGTCTACAGGGTTCATTCTCTGGAACGTTTGGTACATCGAATGGGACAAACTCACTTCTGCGCCGGGTCTCATAAGGGTCAAGATAGGACAACCTGGAATATAAGAAAAAACTACGGTCACAATCAATTCATGGATATAAAGAGATTGCAGAGACGAAACGCAGCACCCCGCGAAGTGCGTTGCTTGCGCGCCGGGCAGTTGTATGGAACAAGAGGAAGGGTGTCCAAGCGCCGACTTGGTCGAGGGCAATGAAGGCCCTTACTTCGACGTTGTCCTCGGTTGGAGACTCTCGGCTCCCTGGTTGTAGTGCTAAAAACAATTAAGACGTTTGACTGCATACAATGGTTGACAAGGCTAGAAGCCGACCTCATTGGCGTTCATGTTGTGAGTTGCTTTGTCTTCCCCATCCCTCTTAGCCTCCTCTTCAACCGCTATCTCATTTCTTAGCATAATGTAAATTTAGCATAATAAAATTTTATTTGCTGCACAGTAGCCGGCTGGTAGCTTTCCGGAATGATGTCCAACCGTTACTGGTAGCTCAGCTAGCGTGCAACTGTTGTCTTTTGTCTTCTCTTTTCTTATATAATACGGCACAGCAACGGAGATATTTTTCACTTCTACCTAACGTGTATATTGATGAATGATCACCACGCAACATACAACTACAATGAGTCCAAGTTAAAATGAGCCCGACTGAAGCGTGGTTTGATATGTTAATTGTGTGCGAAACCAGGCATAATTGTTTGAGTAGGGCAAAGAAGCTCTAATTGATAGGGTTGGACTAAAGGGAATATCATAGTTTTCCCTCTTCCACCTAGACATTACGGATCACAGGGTCACAAGTGGCTCTCTTTTGTGCGCTAGTTTGAAACTAACGTTTCTGAGAAATTTGGAGCACGTGTTCCATAATGTCCATTCAAGTCAAGGCAAGAATGTGCTTCATGCACCCTCAGTGCGATTGACAACAACCGATATATATATATATATATATATATATATATATATATATATAATACACAATCTGTGGTACTGATATGGTGTCATCTGAATCATGGCTGAATAGGAAAACAATATGAACCATAAGAAAAGGGCAACAACAAATGCTTTTTTGTCTATTTTACCACTCAGTATTTGAAAAAATTTCAGTTTGTTCCTTTTCAGGGGGAGGAAGAAGGGACACCGCAACAAACCCATGCACACGTCCGCCATTGACATCGAGCTTGAGTCATGACTTCCAAGGTCTTCAACCAGCAAGTATCCGCATCTCTCGGACCCCAACCAGGTATTCGATAACAACCGGCCGAGGCCAACTGTTTCGTCAGCTTGTTCATGCGGCTTCTCCATACTGTACGCTGTCCACCAGACCGTCTCTTCCAGCCCTGTTCAGCAAGTGCAAACAACGCACGACGGGGGTAACGCTGGACAGGCATGCGCAATACATGTCCCAACCACCGCAGTTGATGCAGTGAGATGAGCTCCTCCAGCGAGTGACTTCCACGTCCCAAGACACGCTGTCTAACTTTCACATTGCTTACGTGGTGCTGCCACCACACACGGGCAATGGACCGCAGACAGCGGTGCTCGAAGACGGATAGCCTGCGCAAGTCATCTTTACGAATGGGCCAGGTCCCGCATCCGTACAACAGTACAGCAAGAACAATTGCACAATAGACCCGCACTTTGATGGAGAGACGAATGTCGTGGCGACGCCACAAATGCCTCAGTCTAGAAAAAGCGAGGTCTCCTCTCGAGACGCTCATCGAAATCTCGTCTCCAACGGCTCCGCCAGCAGTGATGCAACTTCCCAAGTAGACAAAGCTCTCCACAACCTCTAGTGCCTCACTAGCAAGCGTGAGTGCAGGCAGAGGCACCTGCCAGTCTTGGAAGAGCGCCTTGCATTTGGATGGCGAAAAGTACATACCGTACTTTGATGCTCCAATCGCCAAGCGGTTTAATGCAAGTTGGACGACGTGTGGGTCGTCACCCAGCAAGACGATATCATCAGCATAATCCAAATCAACAACTCGACTACCTGGGAGGAGCTCAACGGCAGCATTCAACAAATCGGCTAGAGCGTTCTTCAAGACATCCTCAATGGCAAAGTTGAATAGGAACGGAGAGATAGACCATCTTTGTCGAACTCCACTGGAGACCACAAAGGTAAGCGAAAGCTTGCCATAAGCCCTAATCCGGCCTGAGGTCAGACTATAGAGAGCGCCCAGTATGGAGACGAACTTCTCGGGGACACCATTCCTTAGTAGACAGTGTCACAGTACTGTACGATCGACAGAATCGAAGGCTGCACGGATATCCAGGAACACAGCAATCGTTGGACTCTGATACACATGGCGGAGCTCGAGGATCTGGTGAAGTGTGAAGATTTGATCGATGTAGCCGCGACCAGGGCGAAACCCACCTTGTTCTTCTCGTTGCAACGATTCGCGTATTGGGGATAGCCTGCGAAGCATGATGGACACCAGCAGCTTGCAAACGACGGGGACTATACCTATTCCTCTGTAGTTGGGGCAGATTGTGCGCAGGCCCTTTTTGAAGATGGGGACGACTAGCGATTCACCCCAAGATGACGGAACTTCCCCTTTCGACCAAATTTTCGAGAACAAAGCGGTGAGTTCTCGAACCAGCGATGCGCCACCATCTTTAAATAGAGTCGGAGGAAGACTTTCAGGGCCGGAGGCTTTATAACGCTTCATGTGCCGGAGCTCCTGCTCGATTTCCTGGGAAGAGGGATGGTCTGTGGGAGTAGACCACTCGGCCCCAGCGCGAGCGCCAGAGGTAGCAGATGGAGCTGGGGGCCAACAAAACTGTGAGCCAAAATGTTCGGCCCATCGCTCCAACCGTCGTTGAAGATTGGTGATTACGGTGCCATCCTTTTTTGTGTAGATTCGTCGCAGTTAGCTACAGACAGACAGCCACCACCCATCCAGGAAAGCGTTAGACGTGCCATCCTCTTCGCATATTGTTTCACTTATACCAGATCGAACACCTCCGGTGACTCGAATGAGATGGAGGAGTTTTCTGGTATTACCAGAGAGACTAGCAAGCTCCAACTCACTAGCACGTTCACACCACCAAGCTTCGCGGTCCATTTGCAGACTCCTGCGCAACTCTCGACCAAGGTATTGGCGTTCTTCACTGTGTCTGGAATCCGATAGGAGCAAGCCGCGTCTGTCCATCAGCGACAAGGAGTTGGCGAAAATGCAATGCTTCGGTGGGTGAAGGGCAACTCCGCAATTGTCGATACTGGCGGAAACTAAAGCATCTTTGATATGCGCCCACTGCGAATCGAGATCACCGTCAATAGTTGAGCCAAGCAAGTTGACAGTGAGGCTTGGTACCTGGTTAAAATCTCAAGGTTTAGTAAATTTGCGACGTCCGGTCGGTAGTGAGCGTGCTTAGGTGATCCTCCGAAACGCATTCGAATCTTAGCACGAACCAATGCGTGATCGGATTCTAGAAAAGTTGACCAGTACGATCGGCAGTCCGTTACGCTTCCGCGCCATGTGTAGCTGATTGCTATGTGGTCAAGCTGGGAGCACTCGTGCGTTTGTGAGGGCGGGCGCCAGGCAGCAGTGTCTCTCCTCGATTGCCGAAAACTAGTGCTCGAAAGAAACAAGCGATGATCAAAGCAAAGAGCAAGCAGTCTGTCTCCACTGTCTGATCGACTGCCACCGAGACCAAAACTACCCCCAAGTTGATGCTCGCTTGGTGGAAGGCGGCCAACCCGTGCGTTAAAGTCCCCGGCAAGAATGACTATATCAGTCCGTTTGGAGGAACGCAGAAGTTCATGTAGTTGTTGATAAAAGCTATCTTTAACTGCATCCGGGTTGCAGTCTGTAGGGGCGTAGGCGGAGACGACAAACAAGGCACGCTTAACGTCTTGACGCCTGCTTACGTTACATGAACCTCTTAGTCTGACTGCACCTAGCCGGCTGTTGACTGGGATCCAGTCAAGCAGCGCTGATTCAGCCCTGGCACTCAGTACCACCCCAACTCCAGCTTAACCAGTGGCGGCAGCTTCTGGGTCTCCGGAACGCCGCAAGTAGTATTTAGCGTCAGAGTTTACCGGAGATGCCATTCTGATGACGGCGCTAGAGTCTTGTAACCTGGTCTCTGAAAGGCAACAGATGTCTATCGGAAGCGTTTCAACAGTACGGGCCAGACATGCTTGTCGTCCGATCTGCATCAAAGTTCGAACATTAAACGCTGCGAGGATGAATGGAGAACCAGGTCGAAGAAGAGCTGGAGTTTCGGTGGAGTGAGAGACGGTTGCGATCGCAGGACACTGAAAACCGGGAGTTTGGCTGTTACTTCCATCAGCTGTAAGACGTGGGTCGTTTGTGACGGTGACCGTAGAAGACATAAGAGTACATGTGGGTGAAGGACGGGAGGTGGGGTGATCTGTGAGTGGAGGTTGAGCGGTTGAGTTAGCACATAAGACAGGCATAGCAGTAGCAGTAGTGAGCGGTGTGGTCCATGATTCGTCAGTGGGCGTGATCATCATCATCATCATACTACACGTTAGTTGGAGGTGGGGAACACCTAAGCTACTGTGCCGCAATATATAGAAAAAAGGAGAGAAAAAAGCAACTGGTGCAAGCCGGCTGAGCTACCGGTAATGGATGGGCATCGTTCCGGTAAGCTACCAGCCGGCTACTGTGCATCAAAAAAATTACTATGCAAAATTATATAAGGCTAAATAATGAGATCGTGGTTGGAGGGGGAGGCTAAGAGGGATGGGGTGGGACAAAGAAACTCACAGCACGAACGCCACTGAGGTCGGCTGCCAGCAATATCAGCAAGTGTGTCCAACCAAACGTGTTCATCGTCTTTCGGACCCCAACCAGGGAGCCGAGACACTCCAACCGAGGCCAGCTCAGAAGTGAGAGCCTTCATTCCTCTCGACCAAGTCATCGCTTGGCCACCCCTCCTCTTTTTCCATCCACAGCCCCGGCGCGCAAACAACACACGTCGCGGGAGTCGGTGGGCTGGCATGCGTAACACGTGGCCGAGCCATCGGAGCCTGATGCGTGAAATAACGGTGCTGAGCGGTTCAGTCCCTTTCCCTGTGCCGTAAACGAGGCGTCGAACATGCTCGTTGCTCACGCGGTGTTCCCACCAGATGTGAGCTAACTTACGAAGGCACCGGTGGTCGAACGTAACTAGCCTCTTCAGGTCCGCTGCTTTAAGCGGCCAGGTTTCACAACCGTACAGTAGGGTCGAACGTACCACTGCATTGTACACTCTACCCTTCAGGGCGAGTGATGTCGCGCCGACGCCATAAGTGGCGAAGGTTAGCAAAAGCGCCCCGAGCTTTTGCTATACGATTCGTGATCTCATCTTCAATCCCACGGGCGCTGATACAACTTCCCAGGTAGTTGAATTTTTGAATGAAATCTAGCTGATGCCCGCCAAGGGTCAGTGTAGCAGGCGGTCCAGTCCAATCTTGGAGGAACGCTTTGCACTTCGAGGGTGCGAAAGCAAAGCCCGAAATGACGGACAGCTAGTGCTAATCTGTCCAGTGCCGCCTGACACGTTTGTGAGCTGTCACAGATTAGGGCAATATCATCAGCATACTCTAAGTCAAGAAGTCGTTCTCTTGGGAGCAGATCTACACCATCTAAGTCGTGTCCTGTAAACGCGATTTCCATGACTTCGTCCACAGCGAAGTTGAAGAAGAAAGGAGACAGTGGGCATCCTTGTTTCACGCCGCTGGAGATATTAAAGGACGACGACAACTTGCCGTAAGCCCTCAATCTGCCCGAGCTACGAGCATATAATCCTCGGATAATATTCACATATTTCTCGGGCACATCTTTCCTGAGTAGACAGTCCCAAAGTGCATGTCTATCCACTGAATCGAATGCATTTTTGATATCGAGGAACACGACTACGGTGGGCCGCCAATATATGTGACCGTGTTCCAACAACTGAAGCAAGGTGAAGATGTGGTCAATACAGCCACGACCTCGACGAAATCCAGCTTGCTCTTCACGAATCTGGCTTTCACGAGTGCCAGTCAGTCGGTGAAGGATGACAGATGCAAGCAATTTGGAGGCAATGGAGATCAGACTGATTCCTCTATGGTTGCCGCATTCCGATCGTAAGCCTCCCTTGAAAATTGGGACTATGACGGAGCGACTCCAATCGGTTGGGACAGTTTCCTGCTCCCACAGTTTGACTAGTAACTCGTGTAAATCATCCAATAGGGCAGGTCCCCCGAATTTGAAGAGGGCTGGAGGAAGGTCATCAGGTCCCGCGGCTTTATGTAACTTCCACAGTCCGATCTCACGTTCGACTTCTGAGCGAGAGGGCGGATCCAAAGGGACAGCGCACGGAGCGGGGCGATCCCTAACCGGCGAGAAACCTAACCATTCCGACCGATCAAATTGCCTTTTAATGTGCTCAGCCCAACGCTCTAAGCGTTTTGATACGTTGTGGAAAGGCTGTCCACTCTCGTCACGTATAGTTTCACTAACACCAGGTCTCATGCTGCCCGTCTCCCGTATCAGACGGAATAACTTACGATGGTTGCCAAGGGCAGCGGCCATTTCCATCTCTGATGCACGATGAAACCACCAGGATTCGCGGACCCTCTTCAGGCTAGCACGGAGTTTTGCCCGGAGCTCTTTGCGAGTTTCATTTCGTTCACTTCCAGCCGGAATATGCCGGCGAGCGTCGATAAGTTCCAGAGACTGTGAAGAAACCCAATGTCCATGTTGGCGATTAGACATACCACATGAGGATTTTCCTGCTGCAAGCAAGGTCTGGTGAATATGAGACCAGTGAGCTTCAATTGCATCCAGTGAGCGTTTATCCAACTCGCATGACAGCGTACTTTGATACGCACTCAGAACAGCTGGCTTCGCCAGTTGGCTGGTGTCAATGCGCTCACAAAATCGTCATGGGCGTCCGCCAAAGCGCATCCGCAGGTCAGCACACACAAGTGCATGGTCGGTGTCCACACCTGTGCTCCAAATCGAGCGACAGTTCTGGACGCAGCCTCTCCAGCGGTCACTTATCGCAATGTGATTGATTTGCGTCCAAGTCTGATTCGAGGCTGGTGGACGCCAAGTCAACCTCCGGCGGGTGCTGTGTCGGAAATTAGTGCTCGCAAGAAATAAGCGAGCATCCTCACACAAATGAAGTAACCGCTCACCGTTATCATTACGGGAGCCTATACCATGTTGGCCGCCCAGATGCAACTCATCTGTGGATAATTTTCCAACTTGAGCGTTCAGATTCTTAGCTGGCACTACCGTGTCCGTGCTTCTTCTGTGGGTAAGTAACTCTTTCAGTTGGCGATGGAAGTCGTCTCTTACCGAGTCATCGCTACAGTTTGTGGGTGCATAGGCAGCGATAACGAATAGACACCTGTTGGTCCCACGCGACTTCGAAGTTTTGAACGAGCCAGCCAATCGGACCGCACACATCCGGCTACTGATTGGAAGCCAATCAACCAGAGTAGCTTAAGCCCGGGGACTCAGGGCAATACCAACACCGGCTTGGCCGGTGTTCGAAGCTGCGTCATCACCGGATAGGCGCAATGAGAAAACACTGCTTGCGTAACCTGAAGGGGATTGCAGAGTGAGTACAGAGCTCGAGTCTTGCAGGCGGGTCTCCGATAAGCAGCAGATATCGATCGAGAGAGTCTCTAATGTTCGTGCAAGTACTGCCTGTTGACCGATCTGAAGCAATGTGCGAACATTGAGGCATGCCAATCTGAAGGAAGATCGAGGGCTCCAGATGGAAGCCGATGAAGTGGAATGGGCCGCTTGCTTGGACATGGGCCTGTTGACAGTGCAGGAATGACGCTCCGCGTTCACCGGTGAGTTGAAACTAAAAGACAAGCGACTATTGAAGCAAAATGGGAGAGGGCCGAGAATTTGGGGGTTGAAAACAGGGGGGATATAAGTAAAGTTGGGACGGGACGATAAGGGTGAAAAAGCGCAAGAAGGGGAATAAGAAGATGGGAAGGCTTGAGCAGTAACATCCAAACCCCCATCCACCCTGCCCGATGCAGCAGATAGGGCACCGTTTATTATCCTCTGCGGCGGCCAAAGCCTCAAGAAATTGTTTGAGGAAAGATTCATTGTATTTCGTGGGCAGGATACTGTCAGGTTGCCCAGGCCTAGACAGGAGAACGATTAGGGTTCTCAACCAAAGCCTTTGGTTC